GGATGTGGCCAGCCTGGAGAGGGTTCAGAGGAGGGCCACCCGCTTGGTGAGAGGGCAGCAGGACAGGCCCTATGAGGAGAGACTGAAGGACCTGAACCTGTTCAGCCTCAGCAAGAGGAGGCTGAGGGGGGACTTGGTGGCTGCCTACAAACTCATCAGGGGAGATCAGCATTAAATGGGTAGAGCCCTTTTCTCCCCAGCACCACCTGGGGTGACAAGGAACAGTGGTAATAAGCTGATGGAGAATAGGTTTAAGTTAGAGATCAGAAGGCAATATTTTACAGTTAGGGCAGCCAAAATCTGGAACCAACTTCCTAGGGAAGTGGTCCTTACCCCTACCTTGGGCAAATTCAAGAGGAGGTTGGATGATCACCTGTCTGGGGTCTTGTGAGCCCAGCATTTATTCCTGCCTGTGGCAGGGGGTTAGGCTAGATGATCTGTTCAGGTCCCTCCTGACCCTAGCTACTATGAAACTATGAAACTATGATTTATCTTTAATCTCTAATTCTGTTCTGAAATAGATATTCATTCCAAACAAGGACAATCTTACCTAATCAGATCAGGGGTTCTATATTTCTCTTCAAAGGCATATGTTTTTCTCCTATGTTCTCTTTGGCAAAGTCCTTTCTAGTTTTGCTAAAAAGCTGATTGTTTTTAATTTATTGATTTAATTTGCTTTTACTCCAAACAATGAAATGCTTGTATAGTTGTAATGGTTGTATAGTTGTAATAGTTGTAATCCATCTCTCTCACAGATATGATATGACCACTCAGCTGGTTGAAAGGCATCCTATTTGTCATTCACAGGCAGTGGTATCTATGCACCAGATGGGCCCAGAGCATATCATTATGACATGGAAACGGAGAACGGTCATCTCCTAACTACACAATTGAGCTCACACCCTCATCTTTCTCCCACCTATCCTGCTGCTGTCAATTGGAGCTCATATGCTACAAGCATCAAACAATTCCATGTAGATAAAAATACTTTTATGGGAGCTGTTCACCGTGATAACTTCACCTTCACTGAACTCATTACTATAGCAGGAAATCATACAGTTTGCCAGAAAGACCTTTGCTGTCATTTGATCTATAGAATGGTAGAGAAGAGAGAAGATGAAGTTTATGTACTGGGTGCATTTGATGGACTTCATGGCTCTGTTATAAAATATTACTGGCAGGTAATTTGCCTCTATGGCTGTGTAACAGGCTTGTGGCCACAGGGGTGGCTGTGATGTCCCCTGGTAGCTGTGTGGCTCCTGCCTGGCTCTGACTCTCATATCACTTTCCCTCAATTGCTTTCCTGCCTCACCTTGTTCTTATTGAAAGCTGGGTAAGGGAGGCTGCTCATGGGCCTTAGAGTGAGACTTAATCTGAACTATTCCCACACTGGATGTCTCCTGGACCCACTAATCTAAATCCTGCCCTCAGGCCTGATAGCTCCCTCTTGGCCTACTTATGCCCTTTGCTTGTGTAATACATGTACAGTGAAGTCTCTGAGCTCACTGGCTTGTCTGCACAACTCCTGATAGAGCTGCTGTTTCAGTGCAGTTCCAGAGCCTAGGGGGGAAAAGCTGCCATTGGCACTCAACCCTGACCTGCTTCCCTGCCACCAAATTTTGCAGCAGAGGAAAAGGGGGGAGAAAGCAGTGGCCAACCCTTGGGTTCTAGAGTCAGCTTTTCGGCAATAGCCCTGACCGAAGCCAGGCTAAGAAGCAAGCTAACTCAGAAACCAATGAGCTCAGAGATGTGTGGTTGCACCGCCCCCACCCTTCTAGCTCCTCCTCCAGGACACACCCATGCAAAGAAAGCTTTTCTTGGAAATAAATCCCTGGCTTTTGTTCACTCCAGGTTCTGTAAGAGTTCTGTTCTGTTCTCTTCCCCACAGATATGCACACTCCTGAAGTGTAAAACAATGGATTTAAAAACTTGTGGACAGCCAGTAACAACTACCCAGACCAGGTTTGAGGCATTCTCCCTCAGTGGGACATTTGGGACTAAGTACGTGTTTCCAGAAGTCTTGCTCAGTGGGGTTCGACTAGCACCAGGAGAATTTCAGGTAGGGAGATATTCTTGAGCTGCTTTGAGCTAACTTATCTGTACCCTGGCATGGGAATGGAAATTGATATGGAATGAAGTTAAAGAAAAGCCAAGTCCAACTTTGAACTACAGACCCTGTCTTAGGAAAGCAGCAAAGTATGCATGTAAGCCAAATCCTATTTCACTTAACTTGCCCAAACAACAGTTATCCAGCTCTCTGATTGTATTTTGGCATTGACACCCAGTTTAGACCCATATCCACATGAATACAGACATGCTTTTCCTCTGACATTGAATATCCACAAGTGGATTTTTGTCTGGCTACAATTTTATGAACTATGCTCACCCAGTCACACATGTATGGAGCCACCTATCTGCCTGCACAGTGAAGCCTACTGTGCATGATTAGTTGCTGGGTGGATGCTCCCCATCAGATATAAAGCCATAGTATAAAACAAAACAGAAAAAACCCCCCAAAACTCCCCAAACAATGTTGTTAAGATGAAGCACTCCTGTTGACTGAGATACTGTCAGCACTGATCATAGGAAAGTTTGGCTGAAAGGGGCCTCAAGAGGTCATCTAGCCACCCTGTTCAAGACAGGATCATCTCTGATTAAACCATCTTTCCCAAGTATCTCTTTCTCCCACTGTTGAAAATGTCTAGGCATGGAGATTCCACAACTTTTCTAAGTAGTCTGTTCCAATTCTTGACCACCCTCATAGAAAAGTTTTCCTAAATTCTAACCTCAATTTCCCTTAAAGTTTGAGGCCATTGCTCCTAGTCCTGTCCCCAACAGCCACAGAAACATGATTTATGGGGAAATGTTGAGAGACCTTTCAGCCTTTCCCTATAAGTCATGTTTCCTAGGCCTCTGATCATTTTTGTTGTTCTCCAAAGGTGATCATTGCACTATTCTTTCTCTTTTTTCTGGTTAGTATAGCCTAAGTTTTAAAATTATTTTATTTTCCTCAGCTTTCATGTCCCCTATCAGAAAAACATTTTAAGAGGGGCTGGATTTTAAGAAGCAGTGTCTCAAACTGAGTTTCTGAAAAACAGACATCTACAAACCCTAGTTGTTATTGAAAATTTAGTTCTATAAGGAATATCTTGGTCAGTGCAAGAGCTGACTGTATTTTCTCATCTGTTTAGTGCTGGAACACAATGTTTGCCTTTAAATAAAAATATACTGTATCAAGGACTAAAAAAGGTCTCCCAGGATTTTCAAGGTCAAAGTAACAATCATAGATATGTGACTGCTCACTTAATGAGGTTTATGAGCTGCATCTATTGTGCTATTACCATTCCAGTCTGTACAACAAACAGGTTTCAGAAGCTTCAGGACCTAGTGAGATTTTATTACTTAGTATAGTGGAATGTTTTGAAAATTGTGATTGAGATCCTTTAGAGATCGTGGATCTTTTTGCTCATCTGTCCTCAGAACTTTGAATGGAGCCTTCTAAAATATTGCCAGTGTAGCAGTCTATTCATCTAGGCATTTATACAGCTCAAGTCACCATGCAATGAAAGCACCCCAAGAAAACTGAAAAGGAACTCATTTCCCCTTCCTGTGGAACTGGAGAAGAGATTCTAGAGACCTGGCTCATAAACGTATAAGAAGGCAATAACAGAGGTGGAAATCAAACCCCAGATATTTTGAACCCATTCAGTGATTCAACGACAGAGGTATCCTGACAAGTTAAAATCATAAGTGAACAAGAGGGATTTGACTTGTGTGTTGTTTTTCCATGACTACCTTAAGAGAAATAGCTGCATCAAAATATTTAATATTTAATTTATAACTGTGCCTCTTTTATATGTCATGTAATATTACTGCTCCATTAATAGTGTATTTGGATCATTTTCTTTTTAACTAGGTATTAAATGATGGACGTTTGAAAAATAATAATGGCCCAGCTAAGCCAATCCTAACTGTGACACTGTTTGGGAGGTATTATGAAAAGGATCCACCACACCCACTATGGAACTCCCCATAATGTCATTACTGAGATTTGACACCACTGCCATCATCAAATGAAACTTTTTTCGTAATGCATCCTGTCCTTAAGAAAATGGTAGAAATGTTTTGATTGCTATCCAGGAGAAGAAAGGAGTTCAATTAAAAAAAAAATTCTTATTTGTGAGCATTTATTTCTATTATCCTATATACAAAATGCATGCTTGAGACTGCTGGCAGTGTCCTTACATCGTACCAAAAACACATGAACACTTAATGAAAAAAAATGTGACTGGGGATAAAAGAGAATAAATTAAGCAGGCCAGAACTGAAAAGACTTATTGACATTTGTTCTATAATTAGTAGGTTTATCTTTCTCATATCAGGGTAAACTTTCCTAAAATATCCATGCTATAAGAATCAGAAGTTGCTTATTAAAACATCTGAGTGAGGGTTAATGAAACTGGGTCTTCCGGGAATTAATTAACTCTTAAATAAACATTTATTTCATTCAGGAGCAGATTTTCTGTCCTGTTCCATTTTGTCATCACTGGTCAGCTAGTACTAACTGAGCACAAACCCTATTGTGCCTCTTCTGCCAAAGGGCTACGTATTATGGGACTAGCAAAATGCCCATCATGAATGATGGGAGGTGCGGGGATGGAAACTAGCATCTGGCCCTGTGCCCTCCTGCCACTGCTCCAGGTCTAGCCCTGCTCCCCCCAACTCCTCCTGCCACTCTGGATCCTGCCCCGCTCCCCTCCACCACTGCTGCTCTGGGTTTTGCCTTGCTTTCCCCCACCCCCATTGCTGCTTCAGGTCTTGCCCTGCTCCCCCTGCCCTCCCACTGCCTCTCTGGGTCATATCCTGCTTCCTCTGGGTCCAGCCCTTCTCCACTCCCCCTTCCCACCACTCTGTATGCAAGGGAGCATGACTCATGGCTGCGCAGGAGTGGGGTAACACGCAACCACAGGGTGTGGCACACAAAGCAGCCATGGCACGGGGAGTACCCAACAGCTGCGTGGCAGGGGAAGTGGCCCCAGGGTGTGGTGCAGGGTACATGCAGGGGGGGTGGCACACAGCTGCAGAGCGTAGCATGGGGAGCAGCCCTGGGGCATGGTGCATGGGGGGGTGTGCAAGCCACGCCTGTCGCACAGGTGGTCCTCCCCCCACCCCACAGCAGGGAGCAAAGCCTGGCCTCACCCATGTCCACCCCTGCCTCTGCCTCCGCCTGTTTGTCTCTTCATCTGTAAGGCTCCGAGCGCATACCCACAGTTGGTCTGGTGCGTTACGGACAGACAGACACAGCTGGAAGTGGTAAGGCTTTTATTATATTAGAATAATTCTGTGCACATGACTGGTTGGTTCCTGCACCCCCTGTCTTGAGGCACAGAATGGAAAAAGGTGGTGGTAAGACAGCAGTGCAATCCAATATTTCCCAGTTATTTAGAACATATGGTATTCAGGGGACTGGTGTAAGTATTTTATGTGATATTATTTTATGGTGTCAAGGACAGAACTGTCATTAGACATAGTAAAGAGGTTAACATTTGATATTTCTGAAAAGTCCTATTTGGTTATTAAGTGTCATCCTCGCGTATTTGCTCAAAAGGCAGCACAAGTTTGAGAGGGGATGGAATGAGGACCAGAAGAAGAAAAGATTGGGGCTTGCTGGCTAGAGGTGGTTTGGGGAGCGGGGGGTGTGGAGGGATCTTTTTGAAAGTATTAGAAAAGAACTCTCAAGACTTGTTGTGGAGGGATCTTGCTGAAAGTATTAGAAAAGAACTCTCAAGACTTGTCCATCAGGAGTTGTAGAAGCCCAAGCTCCATGGAACAAGGTGGGTAAAAGCATATTCAGAGGATGATATATCCCGTGGCTTCTGGGAAGGAAGTCTGACCTTGGACCCTTCAATGACAGTTTCCTGTAGTTGAAAGGGTAATGACAGGACTTCTAGAAGCACTATAAATGAGTTCACTCCTGGGTTGTTTAGGGTATGTTAAGGGGCAGAGAAGATCTGAACTTATAACAGAGGCTACTGCCAACGTTCAGACCACTTTAACTTGGATCTGGACAAGTGTTCAGGTCCATCAGTAAAAAGTTCCAGGAAACTCTTAGCACTAAGGAACCAGGTCAAGAATAGGGGCATACAGGAGTTCCAGCCTCCTGGATGGAGAGCTACGCAGATGCCTCAAAGCTCATCTTTCCAAACAGAGGGCACTAGGCGGCTGCTCCTTGTGCCTTCTCCCCTATGGATAAATATCCCTCCTCCACTGTGAGATATTTGAGAACCTAGGGGCCCTCGTCTTGCTATATATCACTAAACAGGCATTATATAGGACATTAGAAGACAGCAAAGTTGCTGTTTGAAACAGCTAAACTTTTGTGGAAGAAGCACCACATGTTTTCCTCCACAAATTGCCCATGCATTTGGTTTTTGCACCCCAAAAAAGGCATTTTTCCAGCACAAATGTAACACCTCTCCATGACCATTGTTATAGGACCTAGAGTGGATTCCAGAGAATCAAGGAGGTTTAACTACCTGGAAAAAATGCAGAAAAATCTCCACTAAAGTCATTCAAATATTTATACTTTGTTTTCTTTCTAGGAGAAGCAACAAGTTATGTTGGTCTTTGGCAAAAATAAACCAATAATAACACTGCTTCCTTTGAGGAGGAAGGATGACTGATTTTCTGAGAGAGCTTGCATTTGTATACTCTGTACTGGAACTGAGGGAAAAAGGTAAAATGAAAATATGTACAATTTAGCTAGTCTGTATCTATGTTACTCTGCCCATTTTCTAAAAGCTGCTCCAGATGGTGTTCTAATGAACCAAAAAGTGAGGAAAATTTACTACAGCCTTTCCTGAGATGGAATAGTTTGCTCTTCACATGTCAATATTTCTTCCTGACACCCTGAATATTTGCCAAAGCAAACAAAATCCACCTGTCCACGATGTGTCTGATCACATAGAAAGAGCGGCAACACTTTGCAAAAAGTCCTTAATAGATTTTATTGATGCAGGGCTAAATGTTCGAATGAAGTAATAAAAAATGATAACATTAAAAAATGTGATTCAAAACATTGTTGACTTAGCTAAGCGTGGTCATAAATTTGGGGGTATTTTGCTTCTCTGAGTATAATGCATAAGTATAATCACCTGCAGTACATTTTATTGCCCCCAGCTTATTGGAGACTTGTTTTCCTCAGTCATATTAATCACCAAAGTTGAGGACTAGAAGAAAATTTTCACTTGGTTCATTGGCAAGGATCTAGTGTGGAGAGGGGCATTAATTCTCTGTTACATAGGCGTGGACCATTTCCTAGGATTTTCTGAGTATATGTTAACCAGCTTGTTATCATAGTGGCAGGACATTCACAGTGCCCTCATTTCCCCTGCGTTTAGCTATGGCATGTTATACAGTGCTCTTCATGTTTCTAGCATTCAGCCAGTTGTGTATGAGGTTTTGAACTGAACAGAAGGGACAAGGTTCAGTGGTCCAGAAGGTTCCCTCCAGTCCCTTGTTCCTATGTTTAGCATAACTAGGCTGGGGTGAGCTAGATACCAGCACCAGTTGCCAACTATGAGGGGATGCCAGACTCCACCCACCTGGAGTCTTTGTCATAGCAGGGGTAAATCTGCTCTGTCCTTGCCCAGCCAGAAGAGCCAAGGAGTGAAGCACCACACCAAGGTGTGTATCTAGGGTTTGGGGAGTGAGGGGGGCAAACAGAATTGTGCTGCTTCTCCCTCAAGCCTTTGCCAGAGCAGGCACAGCCCTGCACCCAGCATATGTGTATCTGATAGAGGGGAGCAAATAGTAGGGCATCAGGCACAACTCCCAGGGAGCCCAGCCATGGTGCTGCTGCCACTGGTTCTGCGGCTGCTACAGCAGCAGCTATGGCAGCAGTAGCCCAGGCAGGTATGACATCCCTTCCACTTCTCTACACCACCCACCCTCCCCTTGTATACTATAGTTGGCATACCCTCAGTGAGCTTGCTATGCTTCTTATGCCTTTGATGTTTAGTTTTATGCTGTGCTCCATTTTGTATTGAGCACTTGCAAGAAAAAAGCAAAGCTGATAAAGAACTGATATTGTCAGAGGGACGGGGAGAGGTAGTTTCCCTACTATACCATATCCCAGTGGTTACTGCACATTCTCTATGGGCGTGTCTACACAAGACACTTTACTTCACAGTAGACTAACCTACTGTGCAGTAAAGCATCACAGTCTACATGTGCAGGACATTTACTGCACAGTAATTTAGGCTACTGTGCAGTTAGCTACTGCGCTAGATTAACTGTGCAGTAGTTACTGTGCAGTACCACACTTATACACATTGACTGGGAGCTAATTTCCTCCTGGTCAGCCTAGGCAGGAGGGGGCTACAGGAAATGTGGAGCTCTCTGGCCTCAGTCCTGGTGATGCTCAGCTCCTGGCTCCCCCAAGAAGCTGGGAACTGATCAGTGCTAGAACTGGGAAGCTCTCTTCCCCCCATCCTGGTTCCCTGGCAGAGCTCTCCTGGCCCTGTGCACATCAGGACACACACAGCTGCCAGTGAACCAGGAGCTGTCCTGGGTGCGGGACAGCTGCCAGTGAGCCTCCTGTCAAGTAGCACCCACAACCTAGCAGGAATTGTCCCACAAGTGGAGCAGCTACTGGTGAGACCCACACCCCCACACTCAGAAGGGGACTGCTTGCCAGCTGCTGTCCCATTTGCAGGACAGTTTCTGGCCAGCCCCCTGCCAAGCAGAGGGGCATAAGCCTCACCAGTGGCTGCCTTGCTTGAGTTGCCTTGCTTCCTAGCCCCCTCCCTCCCCTTTGGAGCAGCTCTGCATGGTGCAGAGATGAAAACTCAGGAGAGTGAGCATGAGCTGGAGTTCCCAGCTCCATGCCACACACAGCTGCTCTAGAGAGGGAGGTGGGGTTGTGTTCCCAGCCTCTGCTTGCATTCTGGAGCTCCTAGCTCCATGCTGGGAACTGGATGTGGGGCAGAGAACTCCCTAGTCCTGGCTCTGATTGGTTCCTAGCTCCTGGGGAAAGCCAGGAGCTGAGCAGTGTCAGGATCAGGGCCAAAGAACATCCTGTCCCCTGTGGCCCCTTGCTGCTTAGCCTGACTGGGAGCAAATCTGCTCCCACTCAGCATCTACAAGTGTGGTACAAGTGTGGTACTGGGAAGTAACTAAGATCACAGCCTAATTTACTGCAAAGTAAATGCTCTGTACATATAGACAGTGATGGTATACTGCGCAGTAGATTAGTCTACTGTGGAGTAAAACATCTCATGTAGACATGCCAAGCCTAAAGCACATTAATAGGA